AGATCATGTGCAATTTTTTCACTAACTCCAGGTTGTATTATGGTCATCTGAATTTCTAATTTGCATCTTAGAACAGATTAAACCACATCTAGACAAGTTTCTAGTGAGTATCAACAGGTTGAACTAAAATAATTGCATTTGGTTAGTTAATTAAAATCAATTCAGCTATAGAATATGATCGAAAAAAACTAATAATTTGCTTCATACAATTTATCAATTTTTTTACTTAATCAATTTTAAGTATATCTTTAATTAACAAATTTCCAATAAGTGCACTACAGCCCAAGCATATTAATTGAGGATAATCATTATTTAACAATCTCCACGCTGCTCGCATTGAACTGGCATTATTCATTACAATACTAGCAAATTTAAAAGAGCCAACAAGTTCAATAATTGTTTTAAGATTATTATAAATATACTCTGCAGTATGTGACTCGAATCCAGAATATTTCATATTATAAAAAATTGGTTGTGGAAGACAAAAAATGAAATTTAAAACTGACTCTCGCCTTATATTTGACCATCTATCTAACACTAATATAATATTTGTAGCATTTTTTAGAATTGCATCTAAACCTTGTCATTTAACTTGGTATTCAGTATCTAATAGACTGTTGGCAAATTATATCGATTTGGGCTAATATAAAATGGGTGCATATTTTTAATATAATGTTGCATGGCTTCTATAAATTTTTCCCAAAAAGGGTTTTTTATTGCCGTAAAAGGAATACCAGTAGAATAAAAAATTTTGCTAATATATTATCAACATCTTATTTTTCTACTGACATAGAGTCAGAGTTTTGAATATTTAGTGAAGCCTTTACACTTTTTGGAAGCTTTGTACACTTCAATAAATGGTCGTTTAATCTACTGATTAAATCGACAAAGTCTTCCTCACAATGATTACACTTCTGACAAAGCGTTGTTCGACCTTGTTTGTCACTTTCTGTAACTTTTGTAAAATTTAAACAAATTTCTTTAAATAGAGGCCTTCCACGGGACATAGTTAATGAAATATTATTACTAATTATATTAAATATATTTAACAAACACTAACTCTCATGATCAATGATAAATCATCATATTGACGATTATATTGATTATGTAATAATTTATTAAAAACATTTTAAAACAATTTTAAACAATTAAAAATCAAACAATCATCAGTTCTAAAATCACGTTTTAGAACATTTGCCATCCCTAACAAAAACGTGCTAAAATAGTTAGTTACCAAAAAATATATTTTAGTTGTATGCGTAAATAATTGTAACTCTTTATTCGCAAGGCTTATTATTATGTAAAAAGCTTAATACATTTTTTTCTTGCATATAAATAACTGATAGCACTTCCGTTTACTAGAGTTAGCATTAGTAAAATTATAAAAAAGTCTATATTTAATCTGCCTGTGCATATTAATTGTGTGCTAAATATTAATAATTATAGTAACAAAATGTGGACTTTCTATTATTGTTGTGAAAAGCCTTATACATTTTCATTAATAAATATTAGCTAAATTCACTTCTGATTTTTTTTTTAAAGTTTTCATTTTGCTTCTACTGACATTTAATAAAAAAAGTTTACCTCTTAAAATGAATTACAAGTTCTTGTTAACCCTCTTATTAGCTTTTGCAACTATCAATATAGTAACAATTGCTAGTCCTCATTATCGAAGAGAAGCATCACCATTATTAAAAGAGGTAATAAATAATATTTATATAAATATATTTATCTAACAAATGCTAAAAATGCAAATTGTATTTTAAAATTTTCAGGGATGTATATAATAATTTCAAATGTAACGGTTATGGCATCCATACTATTGACTTACAGTACTGAATATGCTCAATGTTGTTTTTATATTTCTTGAATAACAAATTGGTATTCATTTGTTTTGATAGTTTTATTCTTAGCATATACAAATTTGTTAATAGTATTCGCATCAATTTTTGGATTTAACAGTTGTTTGAATTTCTAAAACTCTCTTAATAAGATTATTGTTTTTCTAATTTTTTATATTAATTTAAACTGAGTTCTATTTTTTCTCACTATTTTTTGCTTTAAATAAATTTACAATTTTTTATGTTAATTTAAACTGATTTCTATTTTGTTCTTGCTATTTTTTTGCTTTAAATAAATCAACAATTTTTTAAATAGTTCAAATATTTTGCAAAATAATGTCACACCTGGAGTTGACCTCTCTATACAACTTAGGGACTTAACGAATCAGTAGTGTGAAGACTAAGATTCAGAAGATTTGGCAAATTAAAGAGGCATCTCTAGAAGACTTATCAAAGAGATTTTACTAAGGTTTTATCAAAAAAGAGAACAACTCAATCATATATGAAGATACGAAGTGTTGTAAGAAACAATATTACAAATAAAGAATCATGCATCTCACATAAACACGATCATTAAGATTCTTAACGAACTACTCAAAATACAAAATTGTGTATAAAGACACAAGAGTATTTATTAATCAAATATATATGTTTCGATATAAAACAGAAACTAAATATAACCAAAGTAACTATTTGAAGATAGTTACAAGTACAATTGGAGAATTCAACTCTATTTACTAAAGAGAGATATATATATGAAGATATATAAATGTTTAGGAGAATTCGAAGTCTGTAGCAACTAACCTAGGCAAAATCCTAGCCCTTAAATAACTAAATTGGCTATATAATTAATTACAGTAGCTAATTACAACTCTATCACTATCTATCAATCAGAAACCATTTCTGGCACTCCTTCTTTTTAACTCTAATTCCTTCATGATTGTTGGCTTATATTCACCTGCTTGCACTCATTATCTGACCATATTTTCACTTATTAGTAATTATTTCCAATATTGCTTCATTGCTTTTTGAAAGACACAAGCCAAATATGCCTTTTCTAGCCATTCTTACCTGATATTAAAGCTGGTTAATTGTTAAGATCATACTGCTATTGGGCCTGTTTAGAGGTGTTATTGATGTCATATTATGCACCCTGTTATCAGTATTGGAACTGATAAGGCACTAGAATTAGGATTTGTCTGGTATTTACTATTTAGATAATAAGTATATATGTATAATAATATACTTTAGGGTATAATACCAAGATCCGTGGGGTAGATGATCCTCAATCATCATTCAACTGTTTTGGGAAGTTTTGGTAGTCAGGGTTAATATAGTTCTTCTTCAAGTTGTTACCAAGTGACTTGTGACTCTTTAGTGATGTGGCTACAAGCACATGATTGTGAGGTCCCAATTAGGACTGGGGTTAAATTTACACTTAACAATTACTCTACCTTTAATTATGAGCTCCTGCGAATAGGCACTATAACAATTCTAGATTGGTGGCAGTAACAATTACCAACTATAAATGTTCTATTGTTATTGTTTATATATCAAGGATCATATTTTAATAGGTTGATTCAAGCACCTCTTTAATATTGGAATTATACAAAATTTTAATAATATCTATTTATTGCCTCTCATAATACTTTTTTAACAAGAAAGTATTTTGAGAGGTATCTAGAGCATGACCTTCCATTGTTCGTAGCTTATAGACATTCTGCACAACCCTCTTTACAATTATAAACGGGCCTAACTATTGTGGTGAGAGCTTTCCTGAATAACAGTTTGCTTTAGTAGCATCAAACAGTAATAACCTATCACTAATACTAAATATCATGACTCTTTCTTTAACTTCTTGTCCCAATGAAGTTTTTGATATCTTTGATATTTTCCTAGCTATATATCATCTTCTTGAGAGTTCCTCTACGATAGTTGTCAACTAATCAGCAAGATTCTTTGTTATTTCTGGAATGGGAGTAATAACAAAATACTTAGCTTCCCATCTATACGTTAGATAGAACAAAGTAAATCTTGTGATAAATTGCTTAGTAGTTTTATAAGCAAATAATACGAATAGAATTAGCGTATCCCATTCTTTATCTTGATTCACCAACTTGGCCAATGACTTGCACAATGTGTGATTATATCTCTCACTAGGCCATTGGTCTGAGAATGATATAGTATGGACAACAAATATCTAATTCAATTTGTTGTATCAAATAGCAAACTATATCATTGTTAAAATGAAGTCATTCATCAGTTACTAATTAGGCCAGACACCCATATCAGCTAATAATTTCTTGATAAATAAATTGGCAGATTGATAAGCTGTTGCATTGGGTGTGGCTTTTGCTTCTGACCACTTGGTTATATAGTCGACTGTGACTATAATATATTGGTTCCCACTAGTGGTTAGGTCTAAGGGCCCAACAAAATCAATTCCAATTTTATTAAAAGGAGATTCAACCATGATTAGCTATAAAAGTTCTCAAATTCAATACTTGCTGTGCTTCTGGTATGCATCACATTCCTAGACATATATATGAATATGTACATATATCTGAGGCCAATAATATTGGTCACAGAATTTTTCAAACATCTTTTCCACTCCCAGGTGAGCTTCTAAAATGTGATTATGCATCAGATACAGGATTAAATCTACCTCATGTGGTTGGATGACTCTTAATAACTGATTTCTAGTCTGTTTTTATCTATCTCACTTATAAAGTAGATAGTTATGTACTATGTAGAATTTACTTTGAGCCTCTAACCCTATTTTTGTCTTGCAATAAAATTACTTAAATAATTAGCAGTTTCTAAAAGGATTTTAATTTGGTGAAATCTATTTAAAATAATAACAAAAAATAAATAATAGATAGAAAGAAGAAAAAAAAATACAAACAAAAAAAAATAAAATAAAAAAATTAATTTTAAAAAAAATTAGATTATATTGTCATTGTGATTATATTGCTGTATAGTTACAGGAAATGACTTGCAAGATTTAGTATCATTTAAGGATAAGAAGGTATGTAGATACTATTAAAGGCACATGACAAGGTTTGGTACTTTCTACCAAACCAAATTGCACAACTAAGTGTCCTTAAGGTTATTATGTTTATTCAATTGTCAGGTAGTTGGGGTGTGTAGCAGATGCAACTACCATGGTTGACTGTCTAAGATTTCTTCAATTTGCTTCTGTAATATATGATTCACCAAAGGTAATTGATTGTGTAGCAACAAAATTCTATTAAGTGGAATATCAAGCCTGGTGCTATTACTTTGGTCTAACTCCACATATGGAGTTTCAATTCTTATAACTGTTCTGGTTTCTGATACTGATTTCCAAATCTCAGCAATCTTTGCCCCATAATTGGGTGTAGACCAATAATATTTGCCACTTCTATAATGGAGTAACTCTTAACCATGGCCTACAACTTGAGGTCATATTTGTATTTAATACAATTATCTGAAGGAGAATAAAGTTTGTCACTATACCAGCATTGTGCAGTAAAACCTCTCCAGTCCTGAGACTAGCACTTATTTGCTTTTTGGCTTAATTAAGTACTAATATGCTTAATATAATACCAAGTGCATATTTGTCTATCAAATCTGATTCTCTCGGGGTGAATTCGACTTGCTGATAGGGATATATCCCATAAAGTGAGGCTGGTGGTAGGTTGGGTCACAAGATTTTTCTCACTGCATAGTGTACTAAGTTGTCTTCTCTATTATTAGAGGCTATACCTATATAATTAATATTTATGACCTCCTCTTTTTTCTTTTCATATATATGAGATAGTGTATTGGCATTGTCATGTTTCTAACCTGGCTGATGAATTATTGTAAAATTATAAAGTTTCAATCTCATGATCTATTGGGCACATTTTTCTTTCAACTCTGAAGTTCTTAGCCATTTTAGCGCCAAGTGATCAGTAATAAGATAGAATAGCTTTGCCTCTAGATATTGGTGAAAGTGTTTAATAGCCCAAATTACCACAAGACATTCTAACTCAGGGACAGAATAATTTTGCTTATTCTTATTTAAGCTATGACTTGCATAAGTGATAACATATTCTCTTTTATTGTCATCTAACTGATCCAAGACTGCCCCTAGCCCTAAAGTTGAGGCATCAGTATGAAGATTAGTGCTCAGCAAAATCAAACAAAAACTCGATTATCGAGTTTTTGAATCTATCAATTTACAATATTGGGCATTAAATACAAATTTT